ATCAGGTTGGTGAATGCCATCAGATGGTCTTCTGGGTTAGTAGTGCCGTCATAGGCGCCTACTAGTACATTTTTCACTTTGGCTGGCTGAGCGGCTTCAGTAATTTCCTTGGAGAAGGCCGACGGCTGTTCACCAAGTCTAAGCAACCGTAGCTGCCAGTCCATAGGTTGGACGTTTTTTGCTGCAGGTCCACCAAACAGAGGTGGCTGCAAAAAATACTGTTGTTGCGGCACAAATGGTAAGTTTGGTACCGCCTGGTCGCTATGAAAGCCGGACTGACGGGAGGTGCCGCCTGACTGACTCTCATGATACGACTGAGTATGCCTCATCGAGGCATTTCGCAGACTGTCTTGAAAGTTTGAAGTAGAGGCCGACTCTGACAATCGGTCACTCTTCTTCTGCTTTAGCATTAGCCGAGCGTCTGTGAATGTTTGCTTCGACCCGTCCACCCGAATATGACGAACAGGTTTCCTATTTCCTGTAGGAAAACGGAATTTTGTGAAATCAAGGGCAGGTGGCTCCCGCTTCCTAGATTTAGGATGAGGAGTCGCCTCTCGCCCTTGAACTGGCTTCCTCTTCAGTGAAGTGGAGGGTTTCTTAGCAGACTGCTCCTTGACTGGAGCAGGCGGCTTCTTGTTGATCAACTCTTGAATCTCTCCCTTGAAGTCCCTCATGAAGGTCATGAGTTCGTTCCTTGTGATGGGAGCAGACCCATCAGTCGGCTGTTGCCGAACAGGCGGTGCGCCTGCTGGCTCGCTTCCTGTTTGAAAATGTTCCCGTTCCCTCCTTTCGGTATGACGGGTACGTCGGGCCCTTAGGGTCCCGTCTGAAGCTGTGTGAGCTTCAACTTCAAATTCACTCTCGGTATCATGGTCCGACTGAACTTGAGGGTCGTCTAGGGGACGCCTCTCTTCAGGAGTCGGTGCAGACTTGGATGCCATCTCAGAAGTACTCTCCCCACAGACGGCGCCAAATGTTTCGGGGTTTTCTGATGTCCTGCGGGAGAGTTACAATTCCGAGACTGGAACCGGACGCCTGTACCTGCAAAATAACGGAGACTCCTGGTGGTGGGAGCTCCGCCTCCAACGGTCAAGTTAGTACCTGATTAAGGAGTAATTAATGCGGAAATTAAAGTGATTGGGTCTCTCTAGGTGAGAGTGTTTAATGTAGGTAATCTGCTTTGTTAGCGAGATCAGCCGGTTATTACTGTGTGTAATTAATGTGTTTTTTTCGTTATCCCCCTTAATGAGGATTAAGGGAGGTATTTATAACCTTGGGAAACGTGCCCATCCTAGGTTTAGGTTAACCTAGGGCCGATTGGGCTTCCCTCGGAAGTTGGGCCTGGGTGGCCGGTTTCTCCATTAGGCATGGAGTATGCCACATGTCATGACATAACAGGTCCAAGGTGGATGAATAAGCGCGTGCCACGTGGCAAGCCCTGACAGTTCCAACTGGGGGACACTTGGCAGGACCTGATTGGCCCACGTGGCGCGTTGGAGGAGCAAAATCCCCTAATCACCTGTCTTGAAACTTTCTCTATCAGGGTTTAAATTTTTGTACTGTAATATAAAGATAAATATGTCAATCCATAAGAAGAATTAAACAAATAACAAAATTACACTAATTGACTCAAAACAAGACTCAACTTAAACTATAGACACAAAATTGTCGCATTTTTAAATTGAATTGAGAATGGACACTAGATACACCCCGTGACATGAATTTAATTAAAAAAAATACAATTAATATCGTTATTAGAATTATGAATGAGTATAATGTTTTAAATTACCTACTAAGTTAATGATGAAATTTCATTAGATATATCATTAGAAATATCTGTTATGATGAAATTTCATGTTAATGGTTATAGTTCGATTTTAGTTCGTATTAATGAGTGTTATTAACAAATGTCATATCAATGATGAAAAACACAGTGTCACAATCTCATTATCTAGCCAAAAATTAAAGTAAGGCTAGTAGATCTTTAATTTTAATAACTAAAAATTATCAATCAAAACTCTTAGAAAATTCTTATTTAAAATATACATATTAAAATTTATATATAAAAAATATATATTTGGGGCTTGCCCCTCGTGATCACTATATATATATATATATATATATATATATATATATATATATATATATTCTCATTAGAGCTTTAAAGTGTTATCACATATCCTCTAATATCTCTTTAGTGGGCTTAGTTAAAGTTTTTCAAGTATTTTACAATATTATAGACTTATAGTTCAACTAATTTTTTTCACAAATGTTTTTGGGGGCAAAGCCCATGTGAGCATAATAAAAGGTCTACCCCTAAACGTGGGTAAATAAAAATACAATGACAACAATAACTTATTTTTGAATTTTTTTGGTTTCTATTCTACATTCTTATACATGTATCATGTATGTATTTATATATAAATGTAGAATAATAGAACACGATTTAATTCTAAGTAAGATGGTAATACATGTGGCTTCCATTCAATGGATCTTGGGATTCAAATCTTTTTCTATGCATTTTAAATTAAGATTATTGAATGAGAATGTGGCATGATGCTAAAGGTTGCATTGTTAAATGATGATGTGACATCATATTAGTGTAAGGATACACGTGGCACATACACAAATTTATAAACACCTTTGATGCTAAAGTTGTTAAATGTTGATGGCATCATACTGGTGTAAGGATACACGTACACAAAATTATAAAGCCTTTTAATACATAGTATAGATATTTTATCTTTAGTTGTTATTGTCTGGAATAGTTAATTATATATGTAGCATAATATAGTAAAATCTTTTTTTTTTCTGGATATATAATTAATTTTTTTTAGGATTTTTTATGATAACAACCACCTAAATTTTATGAAAATGATAAAACTTCCCACCAATAAGTACTTGAAAGTTTTAGTGTTTTCGAAAAAAATATATTTATAATTTTAAACAAAAAATATATATATTGGTAGTTTTTACTAAAATACCAAAAATTGTTGGTGGTGGTTGTCCAATTTTTTTTTTCTTTTTTTAAATATATATATTATTCTCCTTATCTTTATTGGATATACATAATTTATTTATTTTTTTGGTGAAAACATAATATATTTATTTAGGTAAATCTGGCATAATCCCATAAATCTATATCTATACTCTATACTTTATTACTCCCTCCGTCCTCGATTGATAGCCACTTTTGCCATTTTTGGTGACTCAAAATGTTAGTCACATTTGTTTTTTCCAAGTACTATTAACATTATTTTTTTACCAAAATTATCTAACATTTGCAAAAATATTGTGCAAATTTAACTTTCTAGTGTAAATTTTACTTTCCCATGTACTTTAATTACTTTCTCCCTCTATTTTTTTGCATACCCAATATAAATTTACTTTTTCAATGTACTTTTTTTATTTCTCCTTAATTCCCGTGATTTTTTAGCAAAAGTGACAATCAATCGGGGATGGAGGGAATACTATTTAAAAATACAAACTATCATCCTCATTATGTCACATGTAAACTTTATTTTTCACCAATGTGACATGTCACCTCTCTTCATTAATTAATCCATTTTCTTATACTTAAAAAAAAAAAAAGAACTAGCTTTAATTCAATACATGTATGAATGTTATTTGATTCATTTTCATCCAACTTTATATCTTCTACAATTACATTTAATTTTTACTCTTTTTTCTCTTTTATAAACTATTCATTTTCTAATTAAATTATATTATAAAATAATATTGTACGCCTATAAACATCCTGTGCATTGCACGGATCAGAATGCTAGTTCATTTAATAACGTGTTCCACCTTACATATGATACTTGTAGTTCTTATGGCATCATTTCTAAAAAATTTCACTATAATAGTCAAGAATCAAGATTTAGAAATGCATAATAAAATAGGCGTTAATTTTGATGTAGTGATTATTATTTTATTTAATACTTTCACTTTTGAATTTAATATATCTATACTTATTATTATTATTATTATTATTATTATTATTATTATTATTTTTATTATTATTATTATTATATATATATATATATATTAAAAAGCGTACCTAAAGCAGAATATGTTCCATGTGTCACCTTTTTCAAGTTCGACATGTCAGCAATATGCGCCACATGCCATTATAAACATGACATGTCACTTTCACATGCTTTAGGTTTGCATCTAAAAATGCTTATAATAAGACTTGAACTCAAGACCAACAAGTCTTAAGTTAAGAGTCTTACCATCTTAGCCATTTATTAACTGTGTTTTTTTATCCAACAAAATTATAGTTAACTTAGATAAATTAATTTGTGTCTTATTGTACTATTTGTTTTCATTATGTAATGATTGAGTTTGACAACTAAAAAATGTTTATAGCAAGACTTAAACCCTAAACCAACAAGTCTCACTATCTACAAAGCCGAATTTGATTAGCAAATTAAACAAGAACAAACTAGCAACTTGGGGCTTCGCCCGGGCCACAAACTAGTTATTATTATTATATATATTAAGAAACGTTCCTAATATAGAATTGTGCCATATTTCGCCTTTTTAAGCACTGCAAACATGTCATGTCAGCGATATCTACCATGTATCACATCTTTAAACTCTATAAGCGGCGATATCTACCATGTATCACATCTTTAAACTCTATAAGCATGTCATGGCATCTCCAAAATATATATTTTAATTGAATTTTAAAAATGCTTATACAAAGATTTGAACTTGAAACCAACAAGTATCAAGTTACAAGTCTTATACTACTTTAGCTATCTATTTACAATATTTTTTTACCCAATAAAATTATAGTTAAATTATATAAAATAATTAGTATTTAGTTATCCTATTTGTTATCATTATGCAATGATCATAAAGACAATTTAACAACTTTAATCTTGAGGTTTGAAAAAGTCAATATTGTTTTTCGATATGATGTAATATAATAATTTTGTTTTTTTTAGTAAAATAATCAATAATTATTAAATATATTTAAATCATACAAAATATCGAATATGATTTTCCTAATACAAAACTTTTACGAAGTATATAAATTATGAAATTTTCAATATAATTATCAAAACACTACAAAAAAACAGTTAACATGATTATCAAACTCAACACGTACAAACTAATAACCGGAGTCATTGTCCAGGCCGCAGAATAGTTACCATAATATAACTCATGTAATCCGTATTATTTTCTTCCGATATTAGTGTTTTAAGTTTCTTGTTATTAGTTGATTCTTAGCCTATGCTTAATTTCATTAAAATTATGTTATTTTATAGGTATATGGACCCATTTATTCGTGGGGACTACCCAGAATCAATGAAAAAGAATGTGAAGGGGCTACCAGAATTCACAAAATCAGAAAAGGCACTAATCAAAGGCGCCTATGATTATATCGGTATCAATTACTACACTTCAAGATTCGTCGAACACACTTGTACTGTTGATCCAATGGCTGGCACTATCACTATCAATATCAACGAACGAATTGGTAATGTTTTTTTTTTTTTCTTCAATTAACTTAATAAAATTGATAAACAATAATACACATAATACAATGAAAAAAGAAAAAAAAAAATTATAATCTACTCTATCATATCCTATTCGCATGTCTCAATATCTCATAGGTATCGGGATGAATTTGTGTGTCATAGTGATTATTAGTATTGTGATTGGACTTTAAGCTAGTCAATCACTCAAAGCCATAATTTCATTAAAGGGGTTAGCTTTATGAACTAAAAGTGATTATTTCGTATAGTGATCCATAAAAATTTTCTCTTCCATCCCTTATGATTAAATGTCTCATTTTGATGCATATCAAATGTCTCATTATACGTTGATTTGAATAAATTTTTATGTCATCATATAGATCAGTAATATAGTGATTGGACTCTAATCACGTACCTCCAGTCCACATGACATGCAATTGGCATTATACTAAGAAATGGAATGAGAATTATATACAACTGTATAAGCGAACAAGGGTCAATATTAATGAATCTTTAACAATGATAAAGATGACAAAAATAACGAACCATTTAATTGTCAATTTGTGAACTGTTGACAAGTAATGTGTCCAATTCCCACACAGTCACACACATGACTACTACACGAGTAACAAATTCTTTAATATTACTCTCTTTCACACAAGTAATTAGTATATCATTTTATTTTTCCTAAGAATATCAAGAAGAATAAGGTCTAGTTCACTTTACCTTAAAAAAAATATATTTAGTAAAAATAATTTCAATTCAGTAAAAATAAGTTCAATTCAACAAAAATAAGTTTAGTCTAGTAAAATAAGTTCAATTCAACAAAAATAACTTCAGTATAGTAAAAATAAGTTCAATTCAGTAAAAACAATTTCAGTTTAGTAAAAATCACTAACCTTAAAGAAGAAATATGATTGAAAATTATTAAAAATAATTTGAGTTCAGTAAAATTAATTTCAGTTCAGTAAAAAAAATTTAAGTTCAGCAAAAATAATTTCATTTTAGTAAAAATAATTTCAATTCAACAAAAATAAGGTGAAGTGAACGAGACCTAATATATCATACTTGTATAAAATACATATACTCATATACATATGGACAATCTTCACTTATTTAATTGTTTTATATCTATACTATATATTAAAAGGTGTTCATAATCAAGGATATGCGCCACGTGTCACCCATCTTCATATTCTACCAAGAAGATGCCACGTCACCAAGGAAAATTATACATCAAATGTACATGTCAAATTAAAAAATGTTTATGTCAAGAATTAAACTCGGGTCCATTAGGAATGTAATAAGAAGTCATACCATCTTTGCTATCTTATACTGTTGCTTATTTATTCGTCTTAAATATAGTTAACATAGGCCACAACTTTTTTTTTTTCAAATTATTTCTTCAACTAAATATATAATAAAAGTATTAAGGATTTAATACGAAGTTAAGAATATTTAACGATAGACCTGGGGCGTCGCCCGGGCTGAACACTAGTTATATATTAAAACAAATATACTAATAATACTTCCTCCGTTTTTTTATAATTGCACCATAAGGGTTTGGCACAAATTTTTTGATAGTGGAAAAAAGGATGAGAGAGAAAGGTAGAAATACCAAGTTGTCCATGTGACTGTATGCACAAAATAAAAGTAAGGGTTGAAAAACAAGGGTATATTAGGTATTTATAGTGTGAACACATAAATTTCTTTTCCTAAAATGGATATGGTGCAATAAATGTGAAACTTCCTTAAAAGGTAAGTGGTGCAATATTAAAAAAAACGGAGGAAGTATATGATTTGAAATCAAAAGAGAATTTCAATTTCTTACTTATTTTTTAATTCAAAAAAAAAATACTATTTTTTAAAAAAAAAATCTTACTATAAACATATACGAAGTACGAGCTGAGTATCTAATAGCTACGGGCATGTTCAGATTGACCGAACTGAACTAAACTGAACTTAACTGAACTGAACTTATTAGAGATGAACTGTACTTATTAGACTGAATATTTTATAAGAGAAAGAAATTAGGAGCTGAGCTAAACTGAATTAAATTGAAATGAAATTAACTAAACTTATTAGAGCTGAATTGAACTGTACTAAACTTGTTAGAGTTGAATTGAACTGGACTGAATTGAACTGAAAATAATTTTATCAGAACAGACCCTATGTTCAAAGGTTGATATTGATTTAAATAATAATGACATATTTTAAAACTGATATCAGCCGATGATGAGGGAAACCAAGTCGGTTTGCAAGCCAAAGGACAAGATGGCATTTATGTCCGTCCAGATGGACTCAAGAATTTGCTCGTCTACGTTAAGGAAGAATATGGCAACCCTGAAGTCTATGTTACTGAGAATGGTAAGTACATTTTTAAATACAAGCAATTCTTGGGTGAAGCAGACACATCCTATTTTTTAAAAACTTATTTCTAGTTTTTTTAATTTAATTTAGTTTAGTTCAATTGAGTGTAAGGGTCTTCGTTTAACATCTTACAAGGCGTTAAAGTCATCTTTTAAAAATATGTATGAATGGACTTATATCCATAGTTCCATACAACAAATTATTGTTAGGTTGTTTCATAAAAGTTTTCTTTTGCCATTATCATTCTATTTTGATCATCTTTTGTTTATATGGAGTATATATCAATTTCAAATATTTGATTTGGGGTTTAATATTAATTTTCATTTTCAACTCAATGATGTTTAGTTATTTAGTTGTTTCAAATTAAATTTATGACAAAGTCAATTTTCATAGTCAACCTTATGATTTTACCAAGCAATTTGCTAACATATTATGGACTGTGATGTTTATTACGACAGGTATTCCTGATAAACCAACTATCACAAGTTCAATTCAGGATCTAATTGCACAAGGGAAAAATGAAGAACTTTCGGCTGCTCTTGATGATTACTACAGAATTGAGCATACTCAAGATCATCTTATAGCTGTTCGTGAAGTAATCAGGTAACTATATATATACATTTTAACTCTGTGTTTAGATAGAGTACGTAATCCCCCTTCAAAAAAAAAAAAAGATAGAGTACGTAATTAATTCCATTTTTTTATTGGTATTTGGTATACCCTAATAAATGACCATCAATACCCTATATTTTCTACAGAGCATCTTTTTTGTCTATGGTCAAATGATCATTTTTGGGTATCCATAACTTTTACGATACTCATTTTCTTAAATCTCGTGCTAATTCCAAATGGTGCAATTAAAAGGAAGGAAGCACGTAATAATAAGTAAGGCTTGAGAATAGCTTAAGTGGTTAGAACATTTTCCCTAATCTCCGTGATCACTCAATTATATATTGTAACTTGGGTGTATGCAATGCAGGGAGGGAGCCAACGTGAAAGGCTATATAGTATGGACATTGATGGACAATATGGAAGTAGGAGCTGGTTATGATGTTCGCTTCGGTCTCAACTTTACAGATTATTTTGACAATCACAAGAGATATCCTAAGAAATCTGATAAATGGTATGCTAATTTCCTTAATGCTGATGGCACTAAGGAGGGCTCCTTGAAGTAAACCAATACGAATTGTGTAAATTGATTATTCATCAAGATTTTATATATATATGTGAAATTTTATTATACTACGTATATATGTGAAGTTTTATTTGTACGGCTTAGGAGTCGTGGTGCATTATAGCAAATACAAATAAAGTTCATTGTGACTTGTGAGCTGGGTTCCATAAATGTTTTATGTTTGATGAATTTATGACTTTATGTACACGCGTTTTTAATTCGAATTAGCCTTTTGACCCATTTGATGCACGGGTTATTACTTAGGTTATTTTTCTTGAAAAGTGTCGGTGTTGTTGTGGAATTTAGCTAGTTATATATACATATAGATATTTTAGGGCATGAAATGACACACTGGTTTAAGTTATATTTAAGTTAAGGAGATGAAAAAACTATTTTATTGTTAATGTAATGAACGCTAATTAGTTTAACTTTAATTTACTATATTGAATATGAAACACTTAATGTTCTTACTTGAATTTGTAAGTTTTAGAATGCCTAAAGATTAAGGAAAAATGGAATCTAAAAATCCAACTTTTGACCGGTCTGACAATAATAAAAATCCAACCTTTAAGTAATCTCAGAAAAATCCAACCTTTGCCCCCCACCTTCTCCAACAGATCCATTACCTAATGATGACCGTTTTTTGTAAGTTATGTGCCACGTGTCATTCGTTAATTGGTCAATAATTTTTTTAATCATTAAAAAAAACAAAAAAACAGAAAAAAAAAAAAAAAAAAAACCACCAGCCACCTCCCCCAGCCCCCGCACCACCCCAGCCACCTCCCCCACTCCCCTGCAATTTCCCCTTACCCCAACCAACCCCACCATCGTGGTCGCTGGATTCCGGCGATCTCCCCCCACCCCCACACCCCCTTGCCGCAACCTCCCCAACCACAAAACCCCCTACGATCTAAACCCTAACCACCACACCAAACACCCTATTCGACCCTCCCAAACCACCCGACCCCTCCCCGAACCTCCCCACCCGCCCGCCGACCACTTACAGACAACCCCTGACCCGTTTCCACCCCTCCCCTCCCCACCCTAAACCCGACCCCAGTTTTCTAATACCCCTGGCCCGTTTTTGGGGTTGTGGGTTCGATTTCGGGGTTCTGGGTTCTGGGTTTGAGTTCGGGGTTGTGGGTTTTGGGTTGTGGGTTTGAGTTTGGGTTGTGGGTTTTGGGGTTCCGGGTTTAATTTGAGTTGGGGTTGTGGGTTGTAGTGGTGGGTGGTGTCGTGGTACAAGGTGGTGGTGTTTGGTGGTTTCGTGGTGCTAGATGGTGGTGTTGGGTGGTTTCGTGGTGATAGGTGGTGGTAGTGTAGGGTGGTTTTGTGGTGCTAAGGTGGTGGCAGAAGTGGTGGTGGTGTAGAGAGGAGAGAGAAAGAAGAGGAGTGAGAAGGAAATTAAAAAAAAACTTTTAAACCGGTTTAACATGTTAAAGGTCAAATGGATCTGTCAAATAAGGTGGAGTGCAAAGGTTGGATTTTGTTAAGATTAATGGAAGGTTGGATTTTTATTGTCAGACCGGCCAAGGGTTTGATTTTTAGATTCCATTTTTCCAAAGATTAAAGACTCAGACATTATTTATATATTTTGTTTTTATATTAAAATGAGAATTTAAAAAAAAAAGGATTAAGAGAGGTGACATGTGGCATATGATTGATTATGGTGACATGTGGCTTAGTATAGATTTGTGGTTTGTGTTTTTAAATACTAAGTATAGATAGATTATACTTTATGTAAAAAAATTTAATGTAGAGAACATATTATACATATCTGAAGAACATAATAATCAAACTCAAAAAACATATTATGGCCGCATTCTTTGTAAAGGTTTGTAATTTTTTTATTTTTTATTTTTTATCTGTGTTCTTGATACATTTGCGTAATGTTCTTCCGAGTGCACCCTGACACCGGCTTGCGCATGGTGCATTCGGGTGTATCATAAAAATTTCATAGTTAGGAAAGATAAGACAAGAAGAAGAAAAACTAAAGAGAAATAAATCAAAGTCTAACATTATCTTGTTACCTAAATTGGGCCAAATTTCTTGAAAAGAGCACTAATTTTTTAAGGTTTCATTATACATGATTCACGTTACATCACAAACGTGAGCCTTTCCGAAACGTTAAATAAATGTTGCGGACAAGATCTTTCCCATTCAAGAATACATTTTAATTTTTTTTATCTAAAAATCTATTATCCAAAGAAATTATCTTATAACTCGGTATAATGATACGCCAGCGCCCCGAGGACCTCGCGCTCACTTTTTTTTTAACAAAATTAAACGGATCATTTTTTTGATGTCATTAATGCAGAATCTTAATTAATAACTGACAAAGATCACAACATATGGAACAGGTTATTAGACGGGGAGATTGTAATTTGTAATAAAAGTACGGATTATTCATGTGATGAGTAGAGATAAAAGAAATATATACAAATTAGTAAACGGTTTGCATACAACTTTCATAAGACTAGACGTTGTAATACTATGCGTTGTAATACTATGCAACTTGCATAATATTCCAAATTTCAAATATAGAAATAAAGAGGCAAGAAAATATACAATAGCTATTTTTATTCATAGTTTATGGTTAAAGCTGGCTTTGGTATGTGTTTGTATGTATGGATCTTGGCCGATCAGCTTAATCCTTTTGGTAGTAGCAAGATAATTACCATGTCACAAAATATTGGGTGCAGCAAGCTGCACTTAATATTTCGTCATTCAAGGCTCAAGAAAGTATCAAACCACCGTCATCTTCTTGCAATGAAAAACAAATTTTCACCCGAAAACAAGTTGGTGGTGGTTATGGCGAAGGAGAGCAGCGAGGTCATCCATGGCGGAAGTGAGAGAAAGCTTGAGATTCTCGGATTTTTTGAAAAATGCCCAAAAATCAAATTGGGGCTTTCTTATGTGATGTATAATTGTTGAAATTGATTGTCCCATATGATTTTATGTTGCATTGTGAGCATTTTGATAACATATGCATGTATTTTAATTTGGTTGAGAAATGAGCAAGTTATGTTATGCTCATGACCTTAGTACGAGCACTTCAATGGACATTCCACCATTGTTATACATATTATCAAACAAATTATACATATCTTCAAACAAGTTATACATATATATCCTCCATTGGTTGGATGATATCCTATATTGTCTATATGATATCATGGTTGAATGATATCCTCTATTAGCTATATGATATTGTTTATGATTGTGTCTATGATATCCTTTATTGGCTGGATAATATCCTCTATTGCCTATGTAATATCATGGTTGGATGATATCCTCTATTAGCTATATGATATCGTTTATGATTGTGTCTAAGATATCCTTTATTGGCTGGATGATATCCTCTATTGGTTATATATCCAGCCAATAGATGATATCATCTAGCTAGTAGAAATATCATCCAGTCAATAAAATATAACATATAGTCAATAAAGGATATTATCCATTCAATAAAGGATATCATCCAGCTAGTAGAAATATCATCTAGCCAATAAAGGATATCATATAGACAATAAAGGATATCATCCGATTAGTAGAGGATATCATCCGGTTAGTAGAGGATATCATCCAGCCAATAAAGAATATCATCTAGCCAGTAGAAATATCATCCAATAAAGGATATCATCCAATTAGTAGAGGATATTATCCTGCCAATAGAGAATACCATCCAGCCAATAGATGATATCATCCCGCCAATTAGGGGTGTTAAAAAATACACAACCCGTTCGACCCGACCCGCTGACCCACAAAGTACCCGCCGAGTAATTTTGATTTTTTTTTTTCCAATTTTGCGGGTCGAGTACCCGACCCATTAAAATATCATATTTGTCGGTCGGGTAATGGGCCGACCTTTGAGTGTTGCAGATACCTGTTAAATACCCGGTTTTTATTTTGTTTTTTTTTAAAAAAAATTTCTTGGCTGGAACTCAAATTAGGATTACTTTCTCATCTCTTTCCTCAGACAATCAGTAGCCGCATCTCTTTTGAATTTTTTTGGGTTAATTTTCTGATTATGTGTGATTATACTCAAGTTATTTTCAATTACATTTTTTAGTGTTTTTATTCAAATTTTTTGGGGTTAATTTGCTGATTAAGTGTGATTATGTTTGATAAGTTATTTTCATGTTTGCTTGCATTTTGTACCATTTCGTTGCTTATGTTTGATAAGTTATTTTCATGTTTGCTTGTTAATTCTTTGTGATATTCTACAATTGATAAATGTTTTTTTTTGGAATAATTTATTTTGTGCAGGGGTTAAGACTTGGTTTCGGAGCAACCAACAATTATCATTAATGAGGCAATTGAAGCTTCAGATGTCACAAGCGACTGAAATGATCCTCTCTCCCATTTAGTTTGATTTGTGGCTTTGAAATATAATTTGGACTTTGTAATTTATTTGGTTGTTTTGTTGTTTTAATTTGATGTAAATTCCTTAAACTCTCTGAACTCTCTCTAGCTGGACACCTTGAACTTTGAACTTTAACAGCAGGTTTATAATGCCATATTAACAGCATGTAAAAGCATACATATTAAAATTTTGGGTACCTGAGGAGGGTAACCGGTAAAAGCGGGTACCCGCTATCGGGTAATGGGCCATCCAAATTACTACCCGCAATTCCGGGTACCCGGTTATGAACACCCCTACCGCCAATTGAGGATATCAAAAATCTGCATTTTGTCAGTTTAGACTGATAAAACATTCCGTCAGTCCGGATTGACAAAACATTTCGTCAGTCCGAACGTCAGTCAGGATTAACACAATACCTTCTCTTATCATATTTACTCTGAAATCCTTAAGATATTATTCCATATCTCTTGATTTAGATATATTTGACACTTAAAAAACTTGATCATATTTCTGTGTCTACATCTCCTCTGCAATTGTTTAATGGCTTCCTACGCAAAGGAAATCTTGCATTGTAACAATACTAAACTGTGTTATATTAATACTTGGTGGTAGAATATGAAAAAAAAAAAAAAAAAAAAAAAAACTATTTGGTGTGGTAGAAGTCATTACAAAAAAAGAGTCGATTAATGACAACTCATATTCTCATTAATGATAGGCCCAAATCTCGTTCTCCTTAAGACCTTAACCTTCCAATTGTTATTACGTGCACCATTACAAATTTTTAACTATATCCCACGGCAGGGAACATTTCCTGCACCCCCTACCCCATACACTCCGCGCGTGTTAAGCCTCCACCCCTTTTCATTTACAAATTTTTTTGCAATTTTTTTATAAAATGTTCATTTATGTATTGGTAA